AATGAGCATGCAAAGGGCGGGAGAGGGGAAGGGACGCCCGGATGAGTGACGGCAGCGATGCCGGCCTAGGAAGGCGCTCACGTGGTTGGCGCCCCGAAACACCGGCTTCGACAGCAGAGACAGGATCGGCAGTGGAAGGGTATATCCAGGGGCCCCGATTGGACGCGGGGGGGGACTGTGTGCAGTGGTTGACAGTGCGGTACAGTAGTCGACAGTGGGGGGAAACTATGGCGGTTTCCGAAAGGGGACAAGCCCCCCCTCGTGTCTCGCCGAGGGCCGCTCTCCTTCAAAACAATTGAAAAAAAAATTGCAGACAGTCCGGAACACATAGGATGATCGCAAAAATAAGCGCATTTCTCGCTTTTGTCTTGTGGCCAGGTCTGCTAAACAAGTACAAGTACTGTATAGCTTGAAATAGGACTAATCCGCCTGCTTTTCTCTCGGATCCGGCTTTCTATTGGGCATCCCGCCTTACTTTCTACGACGGCATGGCATGTGTATACGGTTGGGCGGATGGGCGGATGGGCGGATCTCGGCGTTTTGCGATGAATCGCGTGCTCCACGTAGATATCCTCTGCCCGCCCTTTAATTTTCAACTATCAATTGTCGTTTCGCCGACGCCCCGCAAAATCGCCTCCTCACACGCGCCACGTGGAGCCCGCTACCCGGATTATGCTCCAGACGCAATCACACGAGTCTGCACATCGATCATTTGTACACTCTCCCATTCGCCTCGCGCTTCACAAACTGATACTCTACCTGTCTTCCCTCCCCCTACAAATTCTCGCTCGCCGGCACATCACCCCCACTGCTCGAGTCATCATCCCCCCCACCCCCGCCCCACCCCGCCCCTGGCATTCCCGCTCACCGGTCCGTCCCGCACATTCCCCGACAAGCCCCAGCCATGGCGTCCCTCACCCACGCCTCTGCCTTCCTTCTCCTGCTCCCCCTCGTCTTCGCCGCCCCGCCCTCTGTCTACAACCCGCATGACGTCTCAGCCATCTCGCTCTACGGCCCGTCGGCCGTATACGCCGCTAGTATGTGTCCGCCGTCCTTCACCTTCACCGGCCGCGCCCGCTTCCTCGAGGGCTTGCGCGCCCATCAAATTGGCCTGCGCTCCTCGGATCTCGCCGTGAACGGGCGTAAGTGCCGCAGCGACGCCCCCCTCCTCGTCTTCGTCCCTATCGGAAATACCGACCATTACCCTCCCCAATGGCACTTCGAGCACTCCATTTACTCCGACCACCCTGTCAACTTCACTTGCGGCGAGTACAAGTTCTCCATCCGCTACGGCTACTTCAATGACGTCGATACAAAGCCGAACAACGGCTTTCTCGACGCCAAGGTCGTCTACTTTGACTTTGCCGTTATTCCAAACACATCGCCGTTCGGCTTTTGCTCCTATTCTGCGCGCAGAGAGGACCATGACAGGCCGCTCAATCACGCCCCGTTTCCGACTAAGGCAACGTGGAAGACATTTCAGAAGAGACGGACGTGGCTGAATAAGAGGCAATCTGCCGAAGTGCCACTCACTGACAATCCTAATGCTCAGCCCCCCACACCAAAGCCTTCAGTAGAGGCGGAGGCGACGGCGGCGCCCGAGGAATCCCCCGAGAAATCTCAAGATCAATCAGCGGAAGAATCAACAGAAGTGGACAGCAAACCGGATGGGACGCCAGATGTTGCTGAGTCATAATTGAGCGCCGAGTTGACCAGTTGAGTTTTGTTTTATGTTTTGACATGCACATGCGATCAGACGCATTAGGTCAAAAGTCGAGAGCATTAGCCCAGCTCCCTCTAGTCATGTACAGACAAGAAAGCTAACGTATTTCTTTTATTTGCCGCGAAAAGTATCATACTGCTCCGCTGTCCGTGTACATATTGGAAAGAATCACTCACTCTTTTCAGCTCTGATCTTGCCTCATCCATTTTCTCCCTCACTCTCGCTTTCAGCCTGTTGACAATTCGGTCTGCCAATTGTTTACGCGGCGGGCATTGAAGTAAGCTTTCCCGACCAGGCCGGGGGCGATCTAGTAAAAACTCTTTCGTCGTGAACTTAGCTGGAGATGCGGTGTCCCCCCCGTTTCCCCGTGTGGAGGACTGCCGTGAATATTGCGCCACTTTCCATGATCTTGTCATTGCGACCATTTGCCTATCGCTGGGATTTTCGAGAGCGGAAGATTTATATGGAACATAGAGTATGCGGGACCAGCCTGGTGAAGATGCCGTGAAGATGGCCGAGAGCTAGTCTTCTAAGACCCAGAAGACTAGCTCGGGAACCCGTAGTCTTCTGCAGTATCCTACAGTGATGTAACATGCTGCACTGTAACCTATGATTCTCGGTGCTCGCGCAAACACTTGCTCCTGTCGATGGCTTGCCAATCACTTGCCATTTCTTTCCAGCAGTGTCAAGTTTGGGAAGGGAACTCTGCAAGCTTGACCTGTTTCTAGTGTCAGCACCAGGTCAAGGTAGACTAGGTCAAATGTCACCTGCTGTTCCAACCAAAATATACTTCAAAATTTAGGTAAATTTCAACATTGTACAGTATGTGAAAGATGATTACTGCAACACAAAATTTGGGGGAAAATGGCAAGTTATCCGAGCAGACGCGCCTTTGGGAAATCCGGTGATCACAAAGTCCGAGGGCCGTATCCCCACCGAGCCTCCGGGACATCTTGCTACCCTCCGCTAGTGCCGGCGTTAAGTCTCAAAACGTCTCCCTCGAAGTGACGCCACCCTTTCCTCTCTCGCAACTCCTTTCCCCGTCCCTGCACAAGACGACTGCAGCTACCAACTAGTATCATTCATCGTTCTCCCACAGTGAGTTGCAGTTGGCATTTAGCACTCTTCGACCCGCCTCACTTCGCTGCCGATGGCAATCTCGCAGTTTAGCACCGACAAAGGTAGAACAATGGGTTCACTTAGCTAATGTCGCAAACAATCAAGGCACCAATTGCCCTTTATAGACCATTTTCTACCTTCTCGGACATGACAGTGCGGAGGAGTAAGGTCTGAGGGGACACAGATAGCGAGCTGGACGCCCGATTTACTCTCTTGTGTTTTTTCCCTTCCTGCCCCCTCCCATTCTTCCGTTTGTCTGAACGGCGGAGTGATTACAGTCAGCTCGCGACAACTGCAACCCCCGATAACTGCAACCCCTTTTGTATACTATAGATCTAGATTAGAAAAGCGCAATCCCGATCGCGGGAACGCATAGGGATACTGTGCACAACAGGTTTGCATACAGTCCACAGACTGTGGACTGTGCTCATGTTTATCGGGCACAACAACATGACAACAGTACGCACACCGCTGTCTTACTTCTGTAAACAGTCTGCAGTGCTCCCTGCTTGCCGAACACGTACTCACTCTTCCACCCTCCTCTCATACCGCGCGATACGCACCGCCCTGTAATCCGCCTCCTACAGACCCACCCCTCCACGTGTACTCCCCCCCGCGTTCCCCACTCCCTCTCAAGACGCACCATAAGGCTGCTCTTTACTGTGTCCTGGGGTTTTGACATCGTGTCGACGGAAATCACTGGAGACATCCGCACCGGCTCTGGCGACGACACAGTCACGTTGCGCGGTGGTACGAAGGTTGACGGCGACATCGACCTTGGCAGCGACAGTGATACGTACTTGCAAACCAGCGGTTCAGTCAGCGGCGACATCCGCGCCGGTGGCGGTGAAGAGCAAGTC